GTCCCGGGTCGGGTCCCGGAGTCCCTGGTCCATGGGGTGTCCATGCTCTGTGCAGAGGGGGCTAAGCTCTTCTCTGAGGTTCCTCTTCCCTGAACGAGGCGGCCCCGGGCTCCGCCCTGGCTTCCGAGTCCCCCCTCCACACACACCGCCTTCCTTCTCTTTTCTGCACGGAGCCCAGACGCCTCCAGGCAGAGATGCTGCTGCTGCTGCTGCCCCTGCTGTGGGCAGGTGAGTGGCCGCGGGGAGGGCGGGGGCGGCCTGGGGGCTCTGCTCACTTTCCTTTCCCCACAGGGTCCCTGGCTCAGGATGACACATACCAGCTGGCAGTGCAGGAGTCCGTGACGGTGCAGGAGGGCCTGTGCGTCTCCGTGCCCTGTGCCTTCTCCTACCCTGAGAGCTACTGGACTCGTCCCCAAGCTCACGCCTACTGGTGCCGGGCCGGGGCGAAGGAAGATCGGGATGCTCCCGTGGCCACAAACAACCCACGTCGACCTGTGCAGGAGGAGACCCAGGGCCGATTCCGTCTCCTCGGGGACCCCAAGAACGACAACTGCTCCCTGGGCATCAGAGATGCGCGGAGAAACGACTCGGACACCTACTTCTTTAGAGTGGAGAGAGGGTCTAAAGTGAGACATACTTACAAAATAAACCAACTCGCTGTGCATGTGACGGGTAAGGCATGGGTCATGGAGAGGCCACAGGGGCGCATCCTGAGGTACCCCGGGGCAGAGATGTGATGCGTCCCCCTCGTGGGAGGGGCGGAGGGTGCACGAGGGGAGGCATCCAGCGTGTCTGGCTCAGAGGGAGGAGCTGGACCAAATTGGGAGGCTTCTCTCAGGCCACACCTCCCGCCCTCCAGACCCCGTGCCCCACCCTCTCCTCCAGCCCTCACCCTCACGCCCCACATCCGCATCCCGGGGACCCTGGAGTCCGGCCACCCCTGCAACGTGACCTGCTCCGTGCCCTGGGCCTGTGAGAGGGGCACGCCCCCCATCTTCTCTTGGACGTCGGCTGCCCTGGCCTCCCTGGGCCCCAGGACCCGCCTCTCCTCCGTGCTCACCCTCACCCCACGGCCCCAGGACCATGGTGCCAGCCTCACCTGTCAGGTGATGTTCCCTGCCGCTGGCGTGACCGTGGAGGGAACCGTGCAGCTCAACGTCACCTGTGAGTGCCGGGAAGCCAGGGTCCCTGATGGGGGTGCCGAGGACAGCGGGTGTGGGGGTCAGGGCCTCGGACCCTGGGGGCTGGGTCCTGG